GTGACCCCTGTCCAGTTGTACACCACTGGTTGAACCTTTAAAGCTCATATTTCAGGGAATATAAGGCCTACTATCATACATTACAGTGGCGGCGTGTTAACATTGATTGAATGTGTTCTGCTTAGGGTTGTTACATTTGTTGAATTGAATTCCGGGATATTAAGTGCCCGGAGTTTCTAAATTTAAAAATTTTCAAGGTCATGCGTTTTTCCTGGCACTTCTGAATTTCAAGGAACAATGCATTTATAAAAAAATACAGATTTTGACAAGAACGATTTTTTAAATTGATACCTTTTTGAAATATCTATTCACGAATTACCTACTGACGATATAAATAAATTGGAATAAACTAAATATATTTTATTAAATTATTGAATATTGTTTATAAACAAAAAAATCGTTTGTGAAATTTACCGACGATTCAACGAATTTTAATTTTCCTCGCCGTGTTATGATTTTTTCTTTATCTTCTTTTATATATATGTACATTATATTATATTCTGGGAGTTATACGTGCAAATCCGAAATCTGGGACCATACAGCTCATTCCCGGTACAATCACAGAAAATCCCGGTCACACCCATGTGGCCAGATGTTCTTTTAATATGTCGTCAAGATCTGCACTAAAATTTATGAGTCCACGAAACACATCAGGGTTGTCCGAATTTTCTGTCTCGTCGTGTCCGTGAAGTGCTAATTCGAAAGCTCCGCAAAATTTTATGCAATCTATGATTTTAGATAATACATAACGATTTTTCGTTACCTGTTNAAAACAAAACATTAAGTTTTTAGAAGATGTTCAAATTGTTGCCCTTGTACTTCAATACATTTTTCCATTCTTCTTCTTAATGATTGACGGCATCTTTGAAATATTCCTAGGTTATTATGAAATCTATCTGCCGATTCCATAATTCTTATCCATAATTGTTCTTCATTATATATTTCTACAGCATAAACTTCATTTTTCATAAAGATATTCAAAAAAAAACCCCAAACAAAAGTAAAATTCAACACCCCGTATCTTTTAACCGAAGGCCTTGCAGACCCATGTTCATAGGAACTTTTTTTCTTATTTTAGTGTCCTCTATTGTGTGGCACTATGCAATGTACTTTTTTCTATGTCACCCTGTATACAAATTAAACAATTTACGAAAACATCTTTTATCCCTGCTAAGTTCAATTATGCTCGGGAATATTGAAAAATATGGCATCACTGTTTTACAAATTATTGGTTGTGACGTCACAAAATTACATATCTCCATGCTAAAAATTAACACTAAAATGACAAAATAAGTATTTGGTCATCCCCTCTCTATACTAACTTACCTTCAAATTTATATATGGGGCCTCATTAACCCTTTTACTATTGATAAGACTGAGTTTTGCTCCGATTCCTAATAATTATTTAATTTTAATAATATAATTTACTTAAATAGTTTACTTAGTTACTTAATTTTTGTCACTTCATAAATCTGATTTTTTTTAATCTGTCAAAGAAAATATTTTCGATTTCTCTGTGGGTAATTGTTATTCGTGTCAATGATCCCATTAATAAAGAGTTATATTTACCTTGAAACATAGCTAAGAATGTGAACCACATTTCCAATAAAGAATCATCCGACATAAACTTTAATGCTACTGGTCTATGTGAGAGAACATTATTCAAATCAGAAACAAGGGGCCAATAACAATGATCTTTCATTACAGGTTTGCCACAGTCGACGACATAATGAAAATTTTCGTTTTGATCTGAAAATAATAATCCTTGGTGGTTATTTCTTTGACAACTTGTAATTTTAAATTTCTTACCATGTAAGGTGTTCTTTATTAAAATTTTGCTCATCATATACTTTAAACTAACTACCATAACATGTAACAGATTTAAATGTTCCGTCATTCTTAAAGCTAAACTTTCGTTTGAAAATAACTGCACGCTTACATGCACCACTCTATTACTCAGTGTGTCGGGATCTACTGATCGTTCTAGCATCATCGAAATTCTACTGTAATGAAGAACAAAAGCTCTAGTCAATGCCTCTTTATAATCAGGATCTGGAAGCATGTTCAGCAAAAGACACACCACTTTCTGGGGAAATTCAAATTTCACTGTCCAAAACACCAGTTCCTCTAAGAAAGTTTTATGGACCAAATTTTCTTGCAATGAAGGACAGTCTTTGTAGTCTTCTATAGGTTTTGGATTAGGTAGAGAGTTCAAAGCTTCTTCATAAATTCTTTTAGAATCATTTTGATATTGTGCATATTCTGTAACTAAATTTTCTGGCACTTCATTTAATACCCTGTATTTCTGTAATCAAAAAT